AGACAAATACAAATATACAATAGAGCCTCATTATGTCCACTGTCCAATCCAATATTCTTTAATACTAAACTAATTTATCAACAGTAGCTACATGAAGCATTAATGCTTTATAAATTTTATAACTATTAAGTAGTTAGCTACCATGAGTCTATGACAAAAATAATCAAGTTATTTTACTTAATATTGTTATACTGGACACGGTCATCCAATGGGCCAGATGCTGCCGTTAAATGTTGACCTAAAGCAGACTTAAGATGAAACCAAATACAGAGTAAAGGACGTGAAGGAGGAGTAGGTAATAGATTAATATTATGTCATTACTCATTAATATTAAGTAGATTAATGATAGAGGTTTTTTAATGGAAAAAGTCTTGAGGGTTACCTTTGAAGTCTGAGCAAAAATTACACGAAGGAGAAGTGGGTGAACACCGAACTGAATAGAGGAGACTTTTCCTGGAAGATGTCAATTGGTGAATTTGTAACTCGAATTGTGTCGATTGCAGAGTAGAGGATGGGAGGAACATCAATTGGTGAGGTTTATGATCTGGAACAAGTCGTTTAGTCACGTGGATTGATGATTGATGACTTAATTTGGCCTGAACTAAAATACTAAATAACTACAAAATAACTACAGCTTGCAAAAAGCCCAAAACCCTAAAAAAACATAACATTGAATAAGCCCATCGTTTATAAGTTAAATGAAGAAGCAAACGCCATAACTAATTGGGGATTTGGGGGTGTAGCGATTGATCCCGAAATGATTAAAGCCATAACTAATTGGCCAATGCCTACTAACTTGAGGGATCTGTGCGGGTTTGTAGTGCTGATTGGGTATTATTGGAAGTTCATATCCGGGTACGCAAAGGTGGCTGCCCCATTTACCGACCAATTAATAAAAGAATGTCTTGGATGGTCGAATGTCACCCCCGAAGCGTTCTAACAACTCAAATCAACCATGACCAGGGCCCCTATTCTGTCGATGCAAGATTTTGCGTAACCCTTATGCCTCTAAAACAGGAGTAGGGACAGTCTTACCCCAAAATGGCCACCTTATTGCTTTTTACAGCCAGGTTTTGGGTCCTTGGAACCGTTTAAAACTCATCTACGAGATAGAGCTAATGATGATAGTTTTGGCTGTGCAAAAATGGAGCAACCATAAGTGCCGCGATTGTATCACCTCGGAGCATACCCATGATCGAATTAGAGCAGGAAATTATTATTGGTCCATTCATCAGCAGGTGAAGCAGGACATTGAAATGGAAGCAAAGGAACCCCGCGCCTTTTTCATTTCCACGTTGGCAGCATCGATGTCTCCTTGTTAGAAGAACATTTAATGGAACAGGATGCCATATGGAAGAGTTAAAAGGGCAATTGCTGCATGCCCAAAAATTCATGAAGTCCGCTGCCGACAAGTTTCCAGTCCAGGTGGGAGAGTTGTTCTTGCTCATGTTTCAACCCTATCCTCAAAAATCAGTGGCTAGGAGACCTTTAGAAAAATTGGTCGCTCGTATCTATGGCCCATTTGAAATTATTAGTGTATCGGTTTGGTAGTTTATAAACTCAAGCCACCCACCTTTATCTGCAACCACCCGGCCATGTTTCCCAACTCAAACAAGCCATTGGCACATGCCCAGTCTGCCCTATTATTCCTCCATAGCTAGATGCTGATTTGGAATTAGAAGTAGAGCCTGAGTCCCTGTTGGGGGTGCGAACTTCCATAGCAGACGATAGGATACGAAGGTAAGTGCTACTGAAGTAGAAACATCTTCTGGAATCTGAGTCCACATGGGAGGACATGGAAACTATAGAACATTTTTTTTCCTAATTTTCACCTTCCCAAAGTGATCTCTCTTTCCCCTTCAAGTTTACCTCCAATTCAGATGGAATCTTTCAACTAAAGCAATGAGAGGACGAGGTGGTTGTTTGGTGGCGGGGCAATGTTATGAACCCACATATCCAGTTTATATATGCTAGGAGAAAGAAAAGGAAATGCTTTCAAGAGGAGACCAGTGACAAAAAGTATTAGTTGGCCAGCTTGGGGATTGAGGGTAAGTTGTGGATTTCTCTGTTATAAGTTGTTAGGAGTGAGTATGGAGATGTATATAAGCAGAAAATTGGTCATTGTTTTGGAGACCCTAGCTTCTCGAAATGCTAGTTATCATTCACAATTTTCGTCGTCAACCCTGCTGGAAGTGCTTTCTAGATCCAATCTCCTGGTCTTTCGTTCGCTATTCGAATACACTTCTTCCTATTTCCTTCTCAATGATATCCGTAATTAAAGCATCCAACACTCCAATCTCAAATTTCTTTGTTTACCACTTTTGTTCTATGATTCATAACAAAATGTTCCTAGAATTCAACTATTGTTGCTCATGTTGCTTCTGCATCTAGCATTACTTGATTGAGCAGCTTTTTAATAGAAAAATTTAGAGGGAGCAAAATAGGTTGTTTTGATGAAGTGACTGATTCTTCTTTCTTTTTACATCTCTAGTGTCTTTAAGACTTGTACCATTGACTTCGAATTTTCAGTCTTCAAATTGTTTTTTTTTTTCTCATTATTTTCTACTTTTCTTCATGAAAGCCACAGGTCTTTTGTTTTTTCAGGTTTGACGGAAGTCTTCAAGCTTTCTCTGTGTTCTATGATAAGCATAAATTAGTTAGTAAAGGGTAGTTTTGGTATCTGTCTAATCACTCTATAAATAGAGGGGGTTGGAGAATGTATTAGGCAGTTTACTTTTTATATCACAAAGAGTTTGATTAAGTACCATAATTGACTAGAGTTGGTTCTACCTCAAAGTTAGACAGTGAGGAGTTGGCTTACCTCTCGAATATCGGCTGTCTACTAGTTCCATTAACTTCATTTATTGTTAGTTTGTGCAATTTTTTGTTGAATACCACTATACTTCTCTCTGGTTCCTATCACTTCGCTCCATAAATATTACCTAGTTTAAGGCAACTATGCAAGTACATAATATTCATTTAGAGTGTTCATATAGTTTGAGCATTCACATCACACATATTCTGATTACTAAAACAACCATATTAATAACCTTATGTATCTTGTCTGCCATGGTATTGAACTTTTGAGCACATGAAGTGTGTGTGAAAAGTATCCAACTTTTGATAAATTTAATCTAGGAGATAAATGTTGTTTGGGAGATCCCCAGTTGATCAAACTGGTTTTGTTTGTTTGGCCCAGATATCTTGGCTCAGAAAGCCGCGATTAATTTTACTTGTGGTATTTGAGGTGTTCTAAATCTATACTATGTCATCATGGGGATAACATATCGTACAGCAGGCTTGATGCCATTTAATTCTCTTGCTTTGTTTCATCTCCTAGTGTTGTTCTACCTATATTCCTGGTATCTCATAATCTGTCTTGTTAATAGTTTGTTGCAAGTCAGATCCTAATTATTATCTTCTGCAACAAATAATTTATAAAGGAAATTGTCTGGTCTATTCTTTATAATGTTGCTTTTACAATGATCGTACCCGAAAATGTCTACTTTAGTAATTATTTATCTCCAAACCAAAGTGCATATCCCACATGGAGGTAGGGCCTGGGTAGGGCAGGAAATATGTAGACTTCTCCTCTACCCCAAAGAGTAAAGCAGCTTTTTGACTGTTTTTGCGAAGACCCGGGCTGTATAAATTAACCTTGCTAACATGCATATGAATACGTATGTGTATGAGTTAGATTATACTCCCTCCGTTCCAAATAAGTGTCCATTTTCACAAGTGCTTATTTGCCAATTCTACCTTTAACATGAGATGAAAAAAAATCATTATTCCCTCTATTATTAAGGATAAAATTGTTATTTAGTTGATTAAAAAAATGTAATGATTACACATTTCTAAAACTGTGTAATTATTGCATTGTAAACATTTATTTTGGGGTAGAGGGGTACTGTTTATCTTTGTAGCAATTTATTTTGGGGTTCTTCACGGAAACAACGGCTTTACTCTTAGGTCCCGTTTGGTTTGTAGGATTGAATTGAATTGGATTTGGAACTGAAGTCCATTCCGGTTCCATGGTTGGTCTGAAGGATTTCCTGTATTTGAGATCCCACGATTTCATTGAAATCCCTCAAACATAGGCTTTTGAAATCCTACAGGGGTGGTCGAGATTTCACAGGATTTGTTGGCTTTTGTATATAATAATGTTTTAGAATATGCTATTTTCTAGTAATTAACTAATAAAAAGGTAAATTGGTTATTTTATAATTTGTTTTTACAAATTATTTATAACGAGTTGAATCAATTCCATTCCAAATCCTATAAACCAAACACAACAAAGATTCCAAATCCTTCAAAATCCAAATCCGTGATGTGGTGTTTGGTTTGATGGAATGGTTTTGAAGGATTTGGATTTCGTGGAAGGATTTGGAATTGGAGGGGTTTGGAACCTTTGGTGTGTTGGTTTGATGTATTTGGAATGGGATGGAATTCCATCTTTTTATGGAAACAAATCATAAAATATCATAAACATAGTTAAGTTACCTTTTTATTAATGAATTATTAGAAAATAAATGTTTTTAACATATTTTAAAACATTATTTTATACAAATCCTATGAAATCCCAGCCACCCCCGAGGGATTTCAAAATCCTATGTTTGAGGGATTTCAACAGAATCCTAGGATTTCAAATCCAGACAATCATGCATACCAAACACTGGATTGGAATGAACTTTAAATCGAAATCCCCCCAATTCCATTACATTCATGCAAACCAAACGAACCCTCAAATTTCCAAATACTTCCCCAAAATCCAAATCCCTCAAAATCTGTCCATCAAACCAAATACCCCCTGGTTAGGTGTGCACATCTTACCCTCCTCAAACCCCACCTCAGATGGGATATACTATGCTCTTTTGGTTTATGCATTTGTGTGATAGCATGTTTCTTTATTAATGGCATGTATGATCTCTTTTAGAATGTTGACCCTTTTAAGCCGAGAAAAGATCCTATCGAGTCTCATGTTCTATAGTTCAATTATGCAGATGTGGGTCTTGTGGATACGACTTGAACTTGAGTTCCTCGGCACGCAATACCTCGACCATTGGTTCCAAATACGGGAAATCCATAAAGACGGGAATGATATCGTTCTTCTGCATCGATGAGAGTAGATTCACTCTAGTAGAGGAGTTCCAGTGTGTGCCCTACTTCATCTCAAAACACTTTTGGGGTTTGTTTAGCAGGAAAACCAAACTTCTTTGTCGTAAGTGTAATAACCACATCGGAAATGCTTATGAAGACAATACCTCATCATACCCTCTTGTAGAAGATGGATCAGATTCGGCCTCGACCACTCAGATCTCTTCCTACAGAAAATATGATGTTAGAATCCGAGCCGTCCAACCTTCTTCATCCGTGGAACCTGGCCATGCGATTGGCGTCTGATATCTTCATCTCTAAACACTTTTATGCTTCCTCTTCCTCTTCCTCTTCCTCTTGTGGTATGATGCATACATGCTTAAGCTGTGAGTAATTTTTTGGGTTAATAGTACAGTTTCATATTTCATGTAGTATATATATATATATACACCTCTAGCTTGATTTGGTTAGTTAATTACTCTAAATGTCAGTGTTGACACCTCCATTCATGTATATTTGATGATTCTTAATAGTTATGTTAAACTAGAGTGAGTGTATTTTTGAGATTCAGGAGATGTTTTTGCTACAAAAGTTATGCTATAATAAAGAAGAGAGAGGGGGTGAAAAATTTTAAATTTGGAGAAATCTCTAAAAGGGATTTGGATTTTGAAGGATTTGGAATCTTTGGTGTGTTTGGTTTGCAGGATTTGGCATGGAATTGATTCCACTCGTTATAAATTATTCGTAAATAATTATAAAAATAATTAATTCACCTTTTTATTAGTTGATTACTAGAAAACAAATGTTTTTTAACATATTTTAAAATATTATTATATACAAATTCTATGAAATCTTGTGAAATCATGATCACCCCAATAGGATTTCAAAAACCTATGTTTGGGATTTCAAACCAACTATGGATTGAAATTCAATTCAATTCTAAATCTAATCCAATCTAAATACAATCCTACAAACCAAACGGGTCCATCTGGTTTGCGGGTTGCTTTTGAGGATTCGGATTTCATAGAGAAATTTGGATTGAAATGAATTTGGAATCATTTTACGTGTTTGGTTTATAGGATTTGGATTTCATTATTTATGCATAATTTTTAAAAAAATTATAAAAATAATTAAATTACATTATTGTTAATCGATTATTACAAAACAAATGTTTGTAACATTTTTTAAAACCTTATTTAATTTACGAAATCTCGTGAAATCCGAGCACTCCCTAAGGATTTTAAAATCCTATGTTTGTAGGGTTTCAATTAAATCTTAGGATTTCAAATACGGACAATCCAACAAACCGAATGAATTTGAAATCCAAATCCCTCAAATTCATTCCATTTCTACAAACTAAACGGGACTTAAAATGCAATATTTATAAGTGGAAAATAATATTTAGAGTTAATTACGGACTTGGTCTCTATGGTTTGGTGGTTTTTACGAAAATGGTCTAGAACTTTATTTATTGCAAACTAGGACATGGTAGCAAATTGGTCCCTCAATCTAACCGCCATACATTTCCTCCGTTAATCTTGAGGGCATTTTCGTCCTTTTTTTATCTTTACTCGATGGACCAATTTTGTGAGAACCACACAAACCACAGGGACCTAATCCATTATTAACTCTAAAAATACAAAATTATTAATTTTTATACATTAAGTTTATTAAATTAATTAATTATCATACATAGTTCATATGTGAATCACACGGATTCACATATAAATTTGTTCACCGCCTATTTGTAAAAGTTATGAAACGACTCATCTATCTTTTGCAAACCCATGCGAGGATTTATTCGGTGCTTCACAGTCAAAACTAGTGATGGCCAAACCGGCCCGGCCCGTAACTGTCGCAGGACCAGAACCGGGACCGGAACCGACCGGGACCGGCAGGGACCGGTTGAGGGACCGCCGGTTATGAATCGATTGCGATATTTGTCTTTTTTAGGCCCGAGACCGACCGGAACAGGGACCGGTTATGGGCCTGGCCCGGCCCGGCCCGGCCCAGTCAACGAAAGTCAACTAGCCGTTAGAATGGTCAATATAGCCGTTGGGGGTCGATTTTGACCCTTTTTTCATCTTTTTTTCTTCTTCAATTCACTATAAATATGCATGGGAGTACCAAGTAAACATACCAACTCATCTCATCTTCAAAAACGCAAAAAACACTCTCAATTCTCGGTTTCTCGCTCCATTTTGTGAATTCGCTACGTATTAATTTCTCGTTTCCACTTCACAATTCTCGTTTCTTTCTCTCTTTTACTTACGAAATGACCGGTGAACAACCATCAAACGAACAAGTTGCCCAAGTTCTCGCCGAACACGGACGGAAGTCCGAGATTTGGAATCACTACAACTTGGTGGTTCTCACGACCAGAAAAAGAAAGGCACAATGCAAATTGTGTCAAGATCTCCTTACGGCGGAAGAAAATTCTACGTTAAGGAGGCACACCGAAAAAACGTGCCTGGGGTTGAGGTCGGGGGCGATTCAAGCCAACCGATACTTGACACCTAAGGTCAAATATGGCCGTATGATGCCGAGTTGAACCGACAAATGACAACACAATGTATCATTCAAGTTGGGTTGCCTCTCGGACATTTCGACAACCCTCACGTTACAAAGTTGATTCAAAAGACGCTACAAGCACGATACAAGCCGGTAAGTCGTCAAACTCTTAGACGTGATGCAATAAAAATGTGGAAAATATGTCGGGCCAAAATACAACAAATGTTTTCCTCTTTGCCTAACAATATTTCTTTAACGTGTGACGTATGGAACACACCATACGGATTGCCGGTTTCGTATATATGCATAACGGCACATTGGGTTGAGCCTACAACATGACATTTATTCAACGTGTAATCGCGTTTGAATCGTTTGGTGTGCCACATTTGGGAGCACGTCAATTTTCGATTATTAAAAAATGTCTTGCATTTTATAATTTAACCGCTAAAATAATTAGTATTACATCTGATAACGCTAGTAATAACAATTCTTGTGTGAAAAAATTAAAGTGTCATTTGACACCTATTTTATACGGTAAATTATTTCATCCACGTTGTGCACACATAATAAATTTAGCCGTTCAAGACGGTTTAAATACTTGTAAACCCGTATAGATAAGTTTAGACTTATCTTGCGGCGAATTTTCACAAAAGGTAAAAAAAATGAATGCGGCCTATAGAAAGTATTGCGATGACGTCAGTTCTAGAGCTTTGGGACCGAGGTTTGATATGCCCATTCGTTGGAACTCGACTTATTTTATGATTGAAAATATGTTAAAACAAAAAATTATATTTTTGCTTTTTATAGATACCATTACCTGCAAAATTCTATTGGAAATCTTGATTGGGCCATGTGCTTGAAGGATTGTACGATATTTTAGGCGATTTTAAAAATGCGACAATACTTTTATCGGAATTTATTACCCAACAAGCCCTTTAGTTTTAAACCAAATCTATATTTTGGCAAGTAAAATTGCCCAATACGAAGACCATCACGATTGGGGAAGGTTGATGTCTTGCATGAAAAAGAAATTGTTAAACTATTTTATGGGCATCCCATTTGCTTTTCTTTGTGCTGCGGCGTTAAACCCGTATTTAAATATTGTTGGTGTTGAAGTTTTAATTACACAAATATGTGCGGCTTTTGATTTGGATACCGCTACAGATAATTTTTTTTTCAATGGAACAAAAGTGTTTTTTTAATCACAATTTTCAAGATTTATTTGATCATTACAAACATTTTTACGGAGGAGGAAACCAACCACAAACACCTTTCTCACGTGGTTTTACGGGTTCTAGTTATTCTTCCAGTGGTCATCGACAAAGTCGTAAAGAGTTGATGACTAATTTAATGAACGAGGTTTTAAATGAATCAAGTAAAAAAAGTCGATATGATAACGATTTGGGTGAACTAAATATGTATGTGCATACTAACTTTATGACCGCATGTCCCGCAAATGATGTCGAAGATTTTGAAAAAATTGATTTATTTGATTTTTGGAAACAAAAACAACCTCAATTCCCGATTTTGGCGTGTATTGCACGTGATGTACTAACAATCCAAGGTAGTACCGTAGCTTCGGAGTCTGCTTTTTCTCTTAGTGGCAAGATCATTTTGATATGTCGGACAAGATTAAGCCCGGAGTCCGTGGAGTGTTGCATCTGCTTGAAGGATTATTTGGATAGCGTTGATAAGATTCAACACACGACATCGTTAGAGATGGATCTTGAAGCGGTGGAAGAAAATCTGGAAGAAAATGAAATCTCCACGGGACTAAGCATACCACCAACTACTGATACCGATGGCACTTACTCACAATATGACGATGATGAGGAACTCGACATTGATGATCTTGAAGACCAAGAGGCTATTAGAAGAATTCAAGAGACTGAAACTCTTCAAGTCAATCCGACATGGGATACCGATGAAGATTAATAAATAAATGTATTTTCAAATAATTTTATAGTTTTATTTTTGTAAAACAATGTAATTTTAATCATAATAAAACGTATTTTTAAAGTGTATTTGAGTGACTCGTATTTTTAAAGTGTATTTTTAAACGTATTTATAATAAAACGTATTTACAAACGTATATATATATATATATATATATATAACAAAATGTATTTTTAAACGTATTTATAATCAAACATATTACAAACATATTAATAGCATATTAAACTTTTTAATAATAACAAAAAAATTTAAAAAAAATAAAAAAAATATTTTTTTTTTGAATCAGGACCGGAACCGAGACCGGCAATGCATAATCGATTATAGGTTAGCTTGACCGGTTACAAGGATTTTCACCGGAACCGGGACTGGTTAAGGAGGGACTTGTTTTTGCTTTGGTCAGGACCGGTAGGGACTGGTTACGGCCTGACCCGGGACCGGTTTTTGGCCATCACTAGTTAAAACTGCAAATGATGACCAAATAAAGTATATACATACTCTATGTTGTGTGAGAGTGATGTGATGTCTTATTGGGCCTTTGTGTTTGGGAAAGACCTTGTGATTAGTCATTTAAGGATTGTATAATTTTGGGATTCAAGTTCCCATACTAAGTGTCAACTTTAAGTCGATATCAGGAATCAAAACAATGCAAACCAATGATGAAATACTGGATGGTGTACCCGTGATTGTGTTATGGTCATTTCATGATACTAGGTACCGACTTTTGATTTTGGGGGCCATAACCATTAGAGTACTTGAGAGTAATCCAATTGGATCATATGGAGTGTTTACTAGGTAAATGACCACTCTGAGGAGATTAAATGGTGGTAATTAGTGATTGAGGATTTAGACCATCCTATCTTGTTAAGGTGGATGCATTTTGAAAGTTGTGAAATCGTTGAGTTTGGGGGCAATTAACTCTCGGTAGAGTATATTGGTACGTGACTGGATGGAGCGTTAAACCAATAGCAAGAATGGTATGATTAAGGAAATTTTGGAATCTTTATGGTTGGCATGCATTGTGGTGGTTTGAGTTCGGGTCTAGAGTTGTGTTGGACCTAGGGGTGTAAATGATGCGAGTCGAGCTCGAGTATCACTATACTCGA